GTAAAGATGAAAAACAACCAAATCGTTAAACAACCCTACGAGCTGCTTAAATATATAACTATTAATTTTGTACCTCGGAGAGGCAAGCCTCTCAAAAACGCCTGATGTTAAAGCTTTAATTACTTTCTTCGACGACCAAGGAAAACGGTCTTAGACAAATAATTTTTTAAGTTATTTTAAAATTCTATCGATAATACATAACAGTCGACGGTAATGGTTATAATGAAAATATTATGACATTTTACACACATGAGTACATGACATATTAATGCTGCAAAAATGCGTGTAAAACATTACCTGATGCTTTCATTTATTTTATTCGTATATCCAAATCTTAATTATTTAAGTTAAATGTCGCTATTTAAAAATGCTGGTTGATGATACCTTTTTTTTCATCTTGTCAATCACAATTTTGACAATGAATTGTTACCTTTTACTGTAATATATATTTAGCTTTATGACTAGGTATAAAAGAAAAAATTTTAAATTATTGTTGCTTAGTGACTGTAAAACAGAATATTGACTGGTTGTTTAAAAAGTTGTGAATGTAAATTACAATTCTTATCATAGCGAAATCTATTTATAATAGAGACATAATGAAGACATAATGAATTTATTTATATTATAGACAATTTATCATGTATTCCTAAAAATTTTATATTAGGTTTAATAGCTTTGAAAAAGAAAACTTTCATTGCAATTGTTATTTGATCATTTTATTTTAGCAACATTTTTTAACGCACAAATATTTTATTTATCGCAATTATATTATGTATTGTGATATGTATACTATTATTTCTAGCAATTACTTGCACCTGTGCATATCATTAAAACATTTTCATTGAATACTCAGCATGGATTTATATTTATTCCCTTTTTATTGACAGATATTAAATGAATCCACTCCTGAAAACACAAGTTCAATATCCCAAAGTCCTTTGCACGCTGGCAACTTATTCCTTTTATTCTTTTAATCAGAGTAAGTAATTTCATTTATGTCACATTTAAAAACTGTGATTGTTGCATAATGTACATACAGTGAGAAGCATGATTGAACCTAGGATAACTTTCTTTGCAGAAGTTATTGTTCATTGTCTTATAAAGTAGATAATATTAGAGACAATATTATTAAGACATTTATTATGATCTAAAGTGTTCATATATTTATATATAATAATAGGAACTGAAGGACTCATTTTTCTGTCATATAATGATTGATAAACTTCTATGCTTATGATTATAACATAATAAGACAAGTAACAATCAATAATTCTTTATATGGTTTCTATTAAGTTTAGTCAATATTTTAAATAGATTTAATTTCACTGTTCTTAAAACATTGATGCATTCAAGTCAACTATTTAAGGATACAAATTTTTCTATATACAATCAATTTTGCACACTTTTAATGTTTTATATTTTGTTCATGTTAGAAGATAATACTTACAGTTATTGATACTTTCTTGTAATTTTGAATAAATAACATTTCGAAATATCTTTGTACGTATATTGATTTGTAATGCTTTCTATTCAATGTAATATACTATATTTCTTCCACTGCAAAATCCTTTTTCATTCCTCTAATAACATTAATGTTGGCTTTTTTCAAAGCTTTTGAATTGCTTCCTTTCTTACGTCTATACTTCATCCACATTTTCAAAAATTAGATGTCATTTTTGCATTTATTATTTCATTATTTGTGGTATACTCAACAATCTTTTTTATTTCTTTCTATTTTGTTTATATTTTCAAACTGTATCTACTGCAATTGGCATATTCTTATAATGCTTTACAATGCTAACTACAGAGTATAATAATTGATAAAACAATCTGTAAAAAAAAATTATTATATAAGAAATTACATAGTTTTATTGTATACGGAAAATTACTAGCTTAATATTTTTCACACTAATTATAATTAATAAATTGAATTCAATCAGCAGAAAAATTTTGCTTTTATTC